TCATCACGTAACTCCCCTAACTCATCCCGTGGAGGTGGAGAACAGGGAGATAAATGTCGTGGCATCATTGTCGGTCGCCTATCATGAGGTGATGGTGGAGAAGAGGCTCGATGATGTGATGGAATAGGCGATGACTCTCGTTGTAGAGGTGTATAGTGTGGTCGATAAGGTGATAGCTCTGGGTGAGGTGATGGCTCTCGAAGTGGAGGCTGCTCATCATCCGTGCCATCAAAAAAACGCTTACTAGCTTGCCACCAATCAGTGGCAAGCTCAGCCTCTGTGGGTGTCAGCCTCTATAATGGAGTGTTGGCCTCCTAACAATATAAAAGCTCAAACAAAGTTAAACGTGTACTAGTAATAACTTGTTTATATATGGTAGTATTTGTGTTAACTTACATCATTTATTTTCGTATACCGTAGTAACTCTTCCCAAATCAAAAGCCATCGTTTCCTCTTCCAGGAAATAGCTCTAGGAATATCATTTGAAGTTTTTAATGCATATGTCTGCATGTCGGGAAAAGCCTCAAATATCCAAATCTACAAATAATATAATACACAAACATTAGTAATTGTTAAATAATTAATTATAATTTTGGAAACATTATATAGAAATTATTACCTTAAAGGCCCAAATAAAGCCTGACAAAGTGTATTTGCAACTATTACCACACAAACTTTTGCGGTCATCAAAGGCAAACGACAACTTATTCATGGTAGCTTTTCATAGATACGAACCCCATGGAAACAGGTTCCATGCATTTAGGTCATCTACCAATAATATTAGGTCCTTAGGAATAGGTTGTTTGACCTCTCTGCCTAAAAAGCCGACATGCAAAAGTACTAAAAGGCATACTCGGACAACATCGACGTCATCCATCCGAGTAAAACCATCTTTCTTATTCAATAATCTCGTCAAGTCGTCGATGTGTAAATTCAGCTTCTCCAATGACAGCTCAGGAAAAACTGGGGATAACCATGATGGGCGGGTAATATGACTAGTGTATCGACCTACATCATCGTGTCCGAAGCGTAGACCAGTGATTAAGCAAAACTCCTCCCGCCCAAAACACGTATACGCCGGTGGAAAATGAAACTATATCTCTTCATTACCACGTTTTATACTCTCGGGTAGATCGCTAGTCATGGTCTGAAACCACAAATAGGTCAACATAGCATCCTCACCCGGATGTTGTACTTTCAGCCATGGCCCGAAGCAAGTATCCTCAAACAATTTTCTTTGTATAGGTGAAAGCTTCGGTGCAATTGTAGTGACTAAGCTTATTTTATTCCTTAAGGTCAATTGAGCCGAAAAAAAGTTCTACAAAAACAATAAACATATCAAGTTAGATATACCAAAAACTACACTGTGAAGATATACCAAAACAATAATAAACATAAAGAGTAGTAGTAGTTTATTCTTCAAACTTAAATTTGCAACACTGTGAATTTCGTATTTGTCTTTGTTTTTTGGTTGAAGTAATGCAATTCATTCAAGTTTCAATTTGCAGAAGAATAATAGTTTCTGAAACTTAAAATTGCAACACAAAAATGAAAATCGCAACACGAAAATGATTATCGCAACGCGAATTTGACTATCACAACGCGAAATGAAAATCGCAACGCGAAACTAAAATCGCGTTGCGATTTTGTCGTTGCGATTTTCATTTCGCGTTGCGATCCTTGGTTTCAAATAGTCATTGTCTAAAATTGAAACTTGAATGAATTGCATTACTTCGACCAAAAGACAAAACAAAGACAAATACTAACTTTACAGGGTTAAAGACTAAACAGTTTAGCAGTATTGGCAGCAATCGAATGAATTTAATAAGCAATCTAAGAGAAATGATTAATCTATTGTTGAAATTACCAATAAACTTATCATAAATTTCAATATGAAAAACCTAATAATAATGCAAAAATTTCAAAATAAAAATAATTAAAAAAACTAACCATCGGTGGTTGATTTGATTGTTTTTCCATTTCTGATCGTGAATGATTGTGAGGGTGACTCTGAGAGATGGAGATAGACGGATTTCGCCGGAGAAAGGGACGAATTTCGTCAGAGATGGGGACGGATGTCGTCGTAGAGAGTGAGAGATGGAGATGGGACTGAGTTGTGATTTAGGGTTTTAGGTTAATAGTTGCGATTACGGGATATATTAATATTCGTGTTTGGAATTTGAAAATAAAATACGTGTTGCGATACTAATGGCGCTTTGAAAATCGCATGGCGCTTTGAAAATCGCATTGCGATTTTGTATTATCGCAATGCGATAGTCAGAATCGCGTTGCGATTTACATATTCGTATTGCGATTTTCTAAAATCGCAACGCAAATTTGGAAAATCGCAATGCGATAGTTAAAATCGCGTTGCGAATCTGAAAACTGATTTGCGATACTGAAGATCGCGTTGCGATTTAGAGATCGCATTGCGATTTAGAGATCGCATTGCGATTTTGTTGGTCATTTTGACAAATCAAAAAGGTTGGTCAAAATCATATATTATAAGGAATTTTCGGTCACTGAGGTTATTTTCTCTTAAAAAAAGGTTATAAACAAAAGAAAAAAAGAAACAGATTTTAAGTTTACAATACCTTCAAAGTGCCCAAAACGAAATAGAAAAAGAAAAAAAAACAACATTGGAATTTCAGTATCAGAAATCTCTGATTTTCTCCAAAGAAAACCAGACAGAAAAAAGAAAACATCACTGGAAGATAACTCTAAAGAGAGCATGCAAAAAAGAAGAAGTTAAAACCACAAAATATGTTGAAAAAGTTATCAATAAATCAATGAAGAGGAAACCAGAAGAAGAGAAGAAAAATACAGAAAGTAAAATGGGGTTTACATGTAAATTGAGAAGGGAGGAGGAGTGTGGAGGAATTTGAAAGAGAGAGTTGGCGGGGGGTTTAGGGTTAAAAGGGAAAAATAGGAGCGGGTATTTGCATGGGGTAAAACGTAAAAGGGCAGAGAGCTTTAGAGTGTGTTTGTTTTGGGGATGTGAAATTATTATGGGGATCGAATCCACATTTTCTGTTTAGTTGACCGAGAATGTAATTTTCGGTAATCTTATATTATCAATATTGAATTTTTGGGGGTATATTACCGGGAATGTCATTACTTCACTTTCTTTAGGTATTGTTGGATTACTAACGTTTTGAATACACTTAATTTTTCTCCCAAAAAATATCATTATTCTGTCATTGAATAATAAAAATTCTACGAAGGTTAAATTATAAATTTATGCTTAAATTATTTTAGATTTAAATAAAATATTTATAATTAAAATTTTATATAAAATTCAGAGATTAAAATAAACCTTTCATCAAACTTTTTTATATTTTCAATTTTGTAAAAAAAATTATATGAATTTTATGAATTTAAAATTTTAAAGAAAATATATAAATATTTTTTAAATTATTAAAAAAATAAATATATAATAAGGATAATTTGGTCAAATATACATTCTAATAATCTTTTATTTCTTTAACCAAACACGATAATCTTAAATTCCTGTTAAATCAACCAAACACAAAAAACAACATTCCTAGTAATCCTATTTCCATATAATCTTTTACTCTCACCGATAATCTTACGTTCCGTGAACAAATATATAAGATTCGATTCATTTCGTTTAGCAGACGAGTGAGGTAGGGTTTTGCCCTTGTATGAGGGTTAGGTCATCTCCTTTTTTATATTGCTTTTCGATTCATTGTTTCTCTCTCGGTTTGCCGCATATTGTAATATGCGGGCCCCTAGATTTTTGATGTGATGTATATATGCCCAAGCAAATTATTTTTTAATAAAATTATCATGAAAGTTGTAATTTTTATTTTATCATCAACTTTTAAAAATATTGACCATGTTGATATGAATTTTTCTAAATCTTTTTTTTAAACATTGTCTCTTCTCTATTCAGTATTCATGTACCATTTCCTTACTAATTGAATAAAATTGTCAAAAATTAAACATAAACCCCTGATGAGGAGAAATAAAAGAATATTAAAATAAAAGAATATTTTAAAAATTCATGTTAGGATCATATGATTTTGTCAAAATAAATAAATAAATTTGTTCATTAAAATAGAAAAGAAGTAATACTTTAGTTGCTAATAGTATAACTTTTTGTTGTTGTGGATATTCGTTGTTTTTCTTTTACTTTATTATAGTGTATTTTTATTTTTTCTTTATTTGTTATTTTTTATAATTTTATCTTTATAACATATCTTCTCTTATCTTTATGACATATTATTTCTCTGTTTTTATGGCATGTTTCCGGTCGTTTAGCCGTTGTTTTCGTTTATCCTTTTATAGGGATGGATTTGACATCATTACGGTTGTTCAAGATGACATTTATTTGTTATTATGTTGATCCTCACAGCTATAGATACTTGAATTGGATTTGAATACGCGATTTGCGTTCTTGGATATATTTTCACGTCGTTCGATTTTAATTTACGGTTAGTCGTTAATCTTTCAATAACTCTATCATCCTTTGTGGTTTGTTTGCAAATGCGGTCATATCTATTCGTATCCTTGTCTCCTTCGTTGTTTATCATCTCTGAGTTGGATTTTTCGTAAAATTTCATTGTGATACAGTGATATGGTAATGTTTTTCTAAATATAATAACAATCGCATGTCAGATATATATTTACATACATATATATGTATATATCTGACACTGTGATCCCGAATCTCAATAACATAGATCGTCGTCGTCGTTGAACAATTCAGGTAAGGTATTCATCTTTGAATCAAAACATGCATGTATTGTATTTGAATGAGGGTTTTCAAAGGTATTTTCATGTCTGTCAATAGATTCTCAGAATTGGGTTTTCTGTCATTTAATGTAGGGTTCTTTCTATTACATTGATTAATAGGTTAGATCTTTGATTCCAATTTAATTGGATATTCTTTGTGTTTGGTGTATTTTTTTTAATACCTTATGCATTTTATTCAGCATTTATCTCAGGTTTGCATTGGTAGGTTTGTTTTTCTGGAAATGACTGCAACCGCTACTTCATCATTTTCCGGATTACAAAGGAATTTTAAGGGGTTTATAAGGGTCCTGAATTATGCTGCTTGTGAATGGATTCTCATCTTTCTTCTTTTTGTTGATGCTGCCTTTTCTTACATGCTCACCAGTTTTGCACGACACTGTGAGCTGCAAATTCCTTGCATTATATGCTCGCGGCTCGATCATGTTTTCGGGAAGGTAATAAAAGATGGATATTATCGGACTCTGTTTTGCCGCAACCATAGATCGGAGCTTTCATTCTTGCTTTCCTGCAACATCCATGACAAGCTTGTCGATGGTCGCGGTATGTGTGACGATTGTCTCTCGTCAAGCGTTGAGGGACTCGAATCCAACTCCGATATGCAGAGACTCTTTGCAGGAAAATTGGGGTATGATGGGAATTGCGGTTCCAGAAGCTCGGTTCTCAATCTAGGCATAAGGTTGTGCCCATGCTGCGGTAAACCTTGGGTTTCAAGACCAGGTTCCCATGGAATGGCTGATGCGAATCGAAACATCCCTTTTCCTTGTACCTCAAGTCCTAATGACTTGAAGAAGATGAGCGATAAGTGTTGTGTATCAGCAGCTTCTCATGTAGGAGACACTGAGCTGAAGATCACTTCTGAATCGAAATCCGGGTTTCGGTCAGCTAATAATCACAATGGCAACAGCAAAGTTTGTGATATAAATGAGACTAAAAACAGCTCAATGTTAATGAATCTCATCATGTTAGATGTTTAGCTCCCGAGAGCGATAATAAAGAGAAAGTAAGAGATGAGAAGGCTAGTTTCAATGGACTTCCTGAGCTTATTTCACTTGATGGTTCTCCTTCTTCATCTGGCCTTATGGAAGTTCCAAGCTTCAATGCTTCATTACTGCCTCATCTTGTTTCTCTGGTTGATACTTCGAATTCGGTTAATGCTAAGGTTGTTCATCTTGAACAATTTTCAGACAATTGTAAGCTCTCTCTCTCTCCTTTTTTTTTTTGTGCGTATGTTTATGAAGGTCTTATGTTAATATCGGAAATGGTTTGCGATGGCAGGTGCTTCTGCATCAAGTAAAATTGAAGATATTTCTGTCAATAACAACAATAAAATCATGAAGGTGATGAACACGTCAACCAGAGCCCGTTTCGAAATTGGTCAAGTTGTTAATGATACATCAAGGTTAAATTCAACTGATAGAGACCGAACTGCGGCCGAGTTTGTTACCAAATATATGCCAGCTTACAGTGATGGTGCTAGTGGAGATCTTAAGTCATCACCAGCAACTAAAATTGAACATATTTCTCTCAACAGGAACGGTGAAATCTCAAAGCTGATAAGCAACGAAACTCGAACCGGTCTCGAAACTGGTCGAGTTGTAGATGACACTACCATAGTAAGATCAACTGATGGAGATCCGAATGCAGTCCAAATGCTGCCTGTCAGTGGTGAAGGGAAAAGTGCATCAGAACTTGATGCTAATGTAGTTCATGAAGATCTTAAGTCATTACCAGCACAGAATTCTTCTGGAGAAGGGAATCCATTATCGTTGAACTATTTAAGTCCCGAGTTACAAGATCGTGCAGTTGAATTGCTGAGAACCGATTCCATTTCTGTTGAGGTTCGCAATCTTCAGAACCTATTCATCGAGGCAATAAGTGAATCCCCTGGCCTTGAACCTTTCGACGAAAGCAGAGTCATCGAAGGTGAAAGTCAAGCTGATAGGCTAAATCGACAAGTCGAGGATGCCAGGGAGTACATAGATGCATTATCTAAGGAATTAGATGAAGAAAGAAATGCTTCTGCAATTGCTGCAAATCAGGCAATGGCCATGATCACAAGGTTACAAGAAGAGAAAGCAGCTCTCCGCATGGAGGCCCTGCAGTACCTGAGGATGATGGAACAACAAGCCGAATACGACAACGATGCCTTGGAAAGAGCTAACGATCTTCTTACAGATAAGGAGAAAGAATTAGAGATTGAACTTCCCTCATGAAATAGCGGAGGAGACCGAACCAAATATTCTAACGGTGAATACAACCACATGTTCCGAGCAAAATGATGTGAAGAATACCATAGAACCAGAATTCCCCGAGGCTTGTGTAGTTGACGATCAACCTGTAGTCATAACCGCATGGTCGGAGATCGAAGACGAGAAGTCATTCATCTCTCATTTGTTGCAAAAGTTGGAGAAGAAACTTAACAGGCTTGCTCAGTATGGGGCTCCTCCACAAGAAAATTCCAATAGTGAACACTCCGACGATGAAAAGGATCATAAACGAAAGCAGAAAGTTTTGTCGATGGCTAATCGAACCGGTCCTTCTCAAGAGAGTTCAAGTACTTCAGCAAGCAAAGATGAAGTGGTCAGCAAGGAAAATGGTGATACGGTTTCAAATGGGGAGGATGATGGAGAAGATTGTATAGAAAATGGGTTGGAAGCTCTTGAAAATGAAATTTTAGAGCTCAATGAGAGGTTGGAAGCACTAGAGGCAGACTGTAGTTTTCTTCAGCGTTCACTAAATTATATTAAGAACGGAAAAGAGGGGCTGGTTTTAATTCAAGAGATACTTCAACTATTACGAGAAGTAAAGGAAATCGGGTTGAAGACCCTGAACTCGTCTGTTTTATGAGCTCTATGTGTTCTGTGTTTCATTGCAAAAGGCATGCATCTTAACCCTAAAATCTAAAGCTGATTTTTTTTTACCGTGTTTCAGATGCATCCCAGATTGAGGGTAACTAGCTAGAAGCAGAAATGCATGAGTTTACATACAAGGCAGCAGCTCAGGGTGATCAGATATGGGAATAGAACAGTAAAAAGTGATTACTTACCTTTTGTTTCATGTTGGGGGATTTTTGCTTTTTACTGCTCGACAATTTGTACATTTGGGGTAATTTTTTGAAACACTTGTGTGGCTAAGTTGTAAACTGACGTGACCCTTTTGTTTTTATTTTCTTCTACCATTTTTTTAATGTTTAATTGTAAATTGATATTCTTTTTCACATAGTTGCTATATATATTGACGCCTAATACATAGTTTGCTTTTTCATAAATATCTCTTTTCTCATTTGGGATCCACGCACTCCTCGCATCCGCCTGAAGGAATGTATGCATGCTGAGCTGCAGCAGGACTCCATTGAGTCTGGTTAACTTTTAATTGGTCTGTATTAGCAAAATAAAAAAAAAAAGAGTCAAATTATAAAAAGTTTACACTTTTTAAAACCAAGTATTTAAGTTAAAATTTCTTTAAGAAGTATGATTGTAATAGAATTAAATATTTTTGTTAATGTTTCAAATTCAAAATCTCCAAAAATAATAATAATAATTTTTTAATTATTAAGATTACTTAATTTACACAACGTTATAAAATTAAATCTATTTAACTTTACTATTTTATAATTAGGGTAAAGTATAGTAATGGTCACTGAATTTTTTAAAGCTTTCATTTAGGTCCCCTAACTTTTAAAACTTGCAATATAGTCCCCAACATTTAGTCCGTTTGCAATATGGTCTCCCAACAGTTGCTTGGGGGACCATATTGCAAACAGACTAAATATTGGGGGACCATATTACAAACATACTAAATGTTGGGAGACTGTATTGTAAGTTTTAAAAGTTAGGGACCTAAATGAAAGGTTTAGAAAAGTTTAGTGACCATTACTATACTTTACCCTAAAAATAATTAATAAAAGAAAATCAATAAAATACCAAAATTGCCCTTCTCTCTTCCCCAACCTCACCTTCACTGTAACACCACCCCTTTCCCTAACCCCCAGCACACATCCGTTTCCTTTCTCCAAGCCCACAGTTTGAAGCTCAAAATCTTCAATGATAAGACAAAGATTGATTAAAAAGGTTGCATTTTCACCCTAAAAATACAACTTGGAGCTTAAAAGATATAATTTCTCATAAACTAGCTTCAAAGAACACAAATTTGAAATATCAAAAGCAATAAAAATCGAAGCTTTCTACGAGATTTTCCAAAGTAAACAAACAAAGGTTAAGAAAAACCGTCAATGAAGAAAATGAATGAAAAATGCAAACACTTACCCAACTTGGAAACAATGGTTTTCTTTTTAAAGGAAATGCAGTGGTTTGTTTTCAAATCTTCAATTTGTCAAACACATGCTATTTCCATTAGTTAAGACAACATATTCCATACAATGACTAAAAATTCATGCACAACAGCACAAAATGAGAGAGGTGAAACCCTAATTAAATCTCATAACCCCAAAACCCAATTGTATCAAACATCAAACCATTTTCTCAAACCTCATCCTCAAGTAAAAGCATATTCAGAATTCCCTTATTAATCGAAAACTTTCGAACGGTCTCGGGGCAAAGAAGTGCACCTTCCTAGAGATGGAGCTCTAAGAGGGCATGATGAAACTTCCTCAAAAACTCAATGTCCGACTCCAACACCGATAGCTCTGGCGACTCTTTCGGGAACTCATGGTACCCCATGATTCATGAAGCATTGAATCGATCTTTGGAAGTATGTTCCTGAGGAAATCGTGATTGATTTCGACTTCCTTCTCCACCACTTTATCCACTTGGATCCTCAGAGGAAAACCATTGGTTACCCCTTTGATGATCGACGATAACATGTTGTGAGTTAACAATCTCATCTCTTTCTCTCTTCTTTTCAGTGCTATCGCTTGGAAACAATGGTGTGGGGCTAGGGAAAGGGGTGGGGGTACGATGAAGGTGAGATTGGGGGAAGAGAGAATAGGGCAATCTTGGTATTTTATTAAGGGTAAAGTATAATAATGATCACTGATTTTTTCTAAACATTTTATTTAGATCCCTAAACTTTTAAAACTTGTAATACAGTCCCCCAATATTTAGTTCGTTTGCAATATGATCCCCCAACAGTTATTTCAAGGACTATTTTGCAAACAGACTAAATGTTGGGGGATCATATTGCAAACGGACTAAATGTTAGGGGATTGTATTGCAAGTTTTAAAAGTTGGGAGACCTAAATGAAAACTTTAGAAAAGTTTAGTGACCATTACTATACTTTACCCTTATAATTATTAAGATTACTTAATTTACACAACGTTATAAAATAAAATATATTATTGGTGCATAAAAATATGAATGATATAATTATAAGAAAATTTGGAAAGGAGTGTTTGATTTTGCCTCTTTATGCACTTCCGTATATGGGGTTATGTATAATCCGTACATTCCATGTGGTATACGAAATTTTGTGTGATCAATACCGTCTTTGCTTACGTTTATAGCAGCCGTTCACCGCCTTGATTTTGTCTTTTCTATTTGTCCACACTTGTGTTAAGCCGTAAGGTTGTTCGCCAACCTACAGGGACTTATGGTCAACATCTTGAAGACTGTGTAGCTGTTATGTAGGAAAGAATAATATACAAATCACGGCCTTCCACAATTCAAGACGAAATTTTATTCAAAGCATAAGTCTTTCCCGACCATGCACGTTTAGGGATGGCAACGGGTCAGGTTCGGGCCGGGTATTTATCCCCCGTCCCCGTCATCGTTTAAAAAATTGGTATTCGTCTTCGTTTAAAAAACTGCGGGGATTTAAATGGGGATTTCCGTCGGGTAATCGGGGAAAACCGCGGGGAAACGGGTATCCCGTTTAGCATAAACGGTTATTTAAACGGGTATTGGGCCAGGTATTGGGTCGGGTATTGGGCCGAGAATCGGGCTGGGTATATATATATATATATATATATATATATATATATATTTAAATTAAATATATAAATATATATATTTTATTTAAATTAAATTTATTAATATTTATATATATATAAATAATTATTTTTAATATTTATCGGGTCGGGTATCGGGGCGGGGATTACCAAACCCGTCCCCGTTTAAAATAAATAGGTTTTCCCCGTCCCCGTCCCCATCTCCGTTTATCATCCCCGAACCCGACCCGTTTAATTCAGTTTTCGATTTTCCGTGATTACAAATTTGATTTATTCCTCCCACATTCATAGAGAATTTTCAGATCCTGCACGTTCTTCTTATTTTTTGCATGCACACACATATTCTTTATTTATATAATATGTTCTCGGTACTTATTTCTTTTATAAAATATTGTTGCTTTCACGTATTTTTGTTATTTTATTCTCCGTAACATTACTTTACACTCTGTAGAATTTTGATATAATAATTTCAATTTAAATTAATTTATTTAACAATTAATCACTATGCATGTGTATGTGTTATAACACGATAAATATTTGATAAATTTATATCCTAAATATTTTACCATTGATTTATAAAATGACAGAGAGATAAATTATTTGTTCCCATTTATTAAATAAAGATATGTAGTTAAGACGGTATTTGTAACTTTAAAAATAAATTACAAAACTGTAACTTAAGTGAAATGCTAAAATTTATCAAATTAAAATATAATATCTTAATTTACAAGGTATACATAATATAAGGATTAATATGTTTAATGTCAGGTTTGATTTAAGATCAAAGCATCAAAATATAAATCAACAATTAGTTGATTTAGTGAGATGGTACATTAAATTTCTTAATTAATGTCAAAGATTTGAATAGCGACAATTGCAAATGAAGTAAATTGGATTGGGAGGGTCGCCATCGCCTCTACAATACCATATCAAAATTAGTAGATCAATAGATTAGATAACAGTTTAATGTCCAACTCAATTAATTTTTTAACGAAAAATCAAATTTGAAAAATATGAATAGTTGAATGACTGTTTTATAATTTTTAATATTCGAATGACTCAATAAAATAATATTTTATAATTAATGAATTATTTTATAACTTTTCATAATTAAAATACTCAATAAAATAAAACCGTGAATATTTGTATACTTTTATCTTATTATTTAAGTAAAAAATCTAGGACGGTGTTCTAGAAAGTTTTTCATATCGAAGGGGCACAAGGGCTATAAATAGAACATATCATTTTGAGGATCCTATCAATCCAAAGAGATGTTAATTCAGATATTCACTTTATCGTTTTTGGTCGTTCTCCCAATATTTATCTTCAAAATCATCACTAAATCATCAAAATCCAGAAAATCAACTCCACTTTCAATTTTCCCAAAATCATATCCAATAATCGGTTCCTCCTTAGCCATCAAATCCCATCGAGAAGATCGGGTGCAATGGACTACGCAAATCCTCCAGAGCTCTCCGTCTGGAACTTTCACCTTCAACCTTCTATTTGCTCGCCGTCACATCTTCACGGCGAACCCCGCTAATGTCCAGCACATGCTCAAGACTCACTTCTCCAACTACCGGAAAGGCCCTTTCTCTTACAGCGTTCTCTTTGATTTTCTCGGCAACGGAATCTTCAACGTCGACGGTGAGTCCTGGAAGTTTCAGAGACAAGTTTCAAGCCACGAGTTCAACACCAAGTCTCTTCGTAAATTTATTCAAACCGTTGTTGATACAGAGCTTAACGACCGTCTAATTCCGATGTTTTCTGATGCTACCGTTGATAAGACCGTGCTCGACTTGCAAGAGATTCTTCAGAGATTCGCTTTTGACAACGTTTGTAAAATCGCTTTCGGGTTTGACCCAGCATGTCTTTCGCCATCGTTACCGTCGGCGGAGTTCGCCGAAGCGTTTGAAGATGCTACTAATATAAGTAGCCGAA